CAGACAAGGCCAAATCTCAGAAGACAGATTCGCCACCTAGGCAAGAATCCTCCCAGAGAGGAAAGATGTCTTCATCCCGACCCCACACAAGCAAAGGGAAGGGAAAAGTGGTTGATGACACGGCTTCTGACCAAGAAACCCACAACCTGGAATCTTCCTCTGATGAAGGAAGAGAGACGGAGAACGAGCAGAATCTCCAGTCTGCCAAAATGGAAGAATTGGAAGCCCGCCTCAATGCCATTGCTAACAGGAGCTCACTCCAAGACGAGGGAGTTGTCAAGCCCTATCCTGTCGAATGGGATTTAGCCCCTTATCCTCCAAAATTTGAGGTCCCGACGCTACAAACCTTTGACGGCACGGGATCACCGAACCAACATATCTATCATTTCAAGTCACAGACTGGGAATATGATATCAAACGATGCCATATTAGCTTGATTATTCATTGGCACCCTCAAGGGAGTTGCCTTTGAATGGTTCAGAAAACTGCCTACGAGATGTATCCAAAAGTGAGCGGATCTAGAGAGACTCTTCCTGTCAAGATTCTTTGAAGAGGATACAGAAGTCTCCATCCATACCCTTCTCGCCACTAAATAGAAGAAGAGGGAGTCCGTCAAAGCTTTTGTCAAAAGGTTTCGAAACATGGCTTTGCGATGTCCGACAGGTATGACACAGTCTACCTTAGTGGAGACCCGTCGACACAACTTACAGACCGACCTTATAGCACAAATGAGGGTTTCAGAATGCTGTTCCTGGAGACAACTAATCTCTCAAGGCGAACAGGCTCAAAAGATTATTGTCAGGATCAAAGTTGAAGAGCAAAGTAGGAAGGATCAACCTGAGCAATCAGGCCAAGCTCAATCTTCTCATTCAGAAGGAGAAGATACTACGGCTACTGAAGCTAATCCTCTTTAGTAGGATGGCGGGTCCAACAACTATCACGTTAACACTTACCTCTGATAGTCAAACTCATTAGATAGTGACCCACTAGGCGATGTGTCATGTCTACCCTTTTTCCCTCTGTACTTGTTCAAGACTGGGGGTTGGTTTTATTTCATTGGATTATGAGTAATATTTTTTTTTTGAGTTGTCATGTTCAATAGAATACCTCTGTCAACCACGAAATCCACCAAAACTATCACGTTAACCAATTCCCCCACCAATCCTCTTCAATAGGATGGCGGGTCCATCAAAACTATCACGTTAATAGTTACCTCTGATAGTTTAGTTTCTCCAAATTCCCCCACCAATCCTCTTCAATAGGATGGCGGGTTCACCAAAACTATCACGTTAACAGTTACCTCTGATAGTCTAGTTTCTCCAAATTTTTCCACCAATCCTCTTCAATAGGATGGCGGATCCAGCAAAACTATCACGTTAACAATTACATCTGATAGTTCATTTCCTCCAAATTCCCTCACCAATCTTCTTCAATAGGATGGCGGATCCACCAAAACTATCAAGTTAACAGTTACCTCTGATAATCCATTCCCTCCAAATTCTCCTGTCAATCCTCTTCAATAGGATGGCAGGTCCACAAAACTATCACGTTAACATTTACCACTGATAGTCCATCAACTTGTCAATCCTCTTCAAGTAGGATGGTAAGTCCATAAAAACTATCACGTTAACAGTTACATTTGATAGTCCATCAACTTGCCAATCCTCTTCAAGTAGGATGGCAAGTTCACCAAAACTATCACGTTAATAGTTACCTTTGATAGTCCATCAACTTGCCAACCTTTTTCAATAATATGGCATGTCCACAAAACTATCACAGTTACCTCTGATAGTCCAACTCATCAGATAATGGCCTACCAGGTAATGTGCCTCTATTCCGACTTCATGGATAGTGCTCCACTAGGTGATGTGTCTTGTCTATCTCTTTTTATTCCCCTGCTAAGTCTTATTCAAGACTGGGGGTTGGTTACTTGGAATCCACTGGATTAACAGTAACGAATCTTTTCACATAGTCAAGTTAATATTATACTTCTGACGATCATCATCCCCATAGAGTATGCATTCAACTCGCATTACTCTCAATTTGTCACGTTAACAACATACACCTCTGACAATCAACTTATCAATCATTACCAATAGGATGATAGGTCCTCAAAATTGCACAAATCGCAATCTTCCCCAGCAAGACACTAAGTCTTCAAAATCTTTTTCAAATCATAAGTATCAGAACTCATCGTTCCTGATGATAAACTCACCTAGCAAGTTTCCCCAGCGAGACGCTAATTACCAAAATCTAGTGCAAGTCACAAGTACACAAATCCTGTCACGTTAACACTAAACCTCTGACAAATTCACTTATCAATCCTCTTCAATAGGATGATAAGTCCACAAAGTTGCTCTAATTGTAACACAAATTCCCGTCATGTTAACAATAAACCTCTAACAAAACCCACTTATTAATCCTCGTCAATAGGATGATAAGTCCACAAAGTTGCTCCAATCGCAACACAAATCTAGTCATGTTAACATCATACCTTTGACAACCCACTTATCAATCCTTGTCAATAGGATGATAAGTCCACAAAGTTGCTCCCATCGCAACACAATCTTATTACGTTAACATCATACCTCTGACAACCCACTTATCAATCCTCGTCAATAGGATGATAAGTCCACAAAGTTGCTCCAATCGCAATACAAATCCTGTCACGTTAACACCAAACCTCTGACAATCCACTTATCAATCCTTTTCAATAGGATGATAAGTCCATAAAGTTGCTCCGATCGCAACATTCTCTTGTCACGTTAATATCAAACACCTCTGACAAAATTAACTTATCGACTCTCGTCAATAGAGCGATAGGTCCTCAACGTTGCTCCTATCGCAACACTTTCCACTTATCGACTCTTGTCAACAGAGCGATAGGTCATTAAAGTTGCTCCGATCGCAACACTTTCCACTTATCGACTCTTGTCAACAGAGCGATAGGTCCTCAAAGTTGCTCCAATCGCAACACTTTACACTTATCGACTCATGTCAACAGAGCGATAGGTCCTCAAAGTTGTTCCGATCGCAACACTTTCAATTTATCGACTCTCGTCAACGGAGTGATAGGTCCATAAAAATACTGTTAGGTTAACATCACACTTGTTAATCATTTTTTTTACAAGAATAGCAAGTTGTCATTATAAAATCCCTAGCAGATTAAATATTTTCTGGAATTATCCTAGTGATAATAAAGAAAATTTTTGAATTTCACTCTAAGTGAAAATTCATGCCAAGTTAATATTACACCTCTGGCGCTTCGAACTTTCTTTCAGTGTTTCAAGTAACACAGGAAGAAATAATGACAAAGTCTATGTATTCAAAATCATAGCATCAAGTCTAAGAGGGTTCATTCTCTTAGCACAACGTTACATGTGGAACGGACTTAGATAATCCATGTGCTAGCCCGACTCAAACGGTAGTCGGTAAAGGCTTATCAAATCCGTTGATGGCTAAGGGTTTGCCAAAAATCCTACGAATGTTTGCGGGCCCATCAGCTGAATGGAGGTCCTGCACGGTAAATCCCTTCAACCAAGGTGCCTTTGAAGCGAGTGCAGAGAACAACTCCTTCGTGACAAGTAATCAACAGCTCCAAGATCAGAGTTGAGATCCAAAGTATTCCAAAAATTCGTCCCAGTCAACCGCGAACTTTCGAAAACTTTGGAGAGGGTTCTATAGGATGTCAAAAAATCACAACAGATAGCTTATCCCCATTAAACAGCAACAATAGAGGTTACAATTCAACGACTTCCAGAAGGCCACAATTTGAAGACTTTCATGAAGATCGATGAAGGTTACAATATGACGATCTTCATAACAACTGATGAAAGCTCTAATCAACAGATTTCATAATCAACATCGGGAGTTACAATCTGACGACTCTCACATATCAAAGAGCTAAAGCAAAGATTACAAAATAATAATCTTTGCAACGCTCTGAAAGAAAGAGACTACAAATCGACGGTCTCTTTAAACTAAGACGTGGAAGTCCTCCCCGCGTACCGGCATCAAGACGCAGTGTTTTTAGCCGTTGACACAGCTCAAACCTGGCCACAAACGCAGCCTCTAAAAGCTACCAACGTAGCTTCCATCCGCTGCCAAACGCAGCTCATGTTCGGCTACAAACGCAGCCTCTAAAAGCTGCTAACGCAGCTTCCATCCGCGGGCAAACGCAACTCTTAAATGCTGCTAAACTACCGCCAACACAGCTTCCAAATCGCTGCAAACGCAGCTTCCAAATCGCTGCAAACGCAGCTTCCAATTGCTGCAAATAAGCTTCCAGACGCTGCGTCCGAGCTTCCAGACGCTACGTTCGAGCTTCCAGATACTGCGTTTGAACGCAGGATTCACGCCAGAACGCGGATTTTGCGTTTGACCCGTTCAAACACGAGCTGAACGGTTTCAAAACCGTTTCCCACGATCTGAGGGGATCACAACTCCACTCAGGAGTGATTTAAGGGGCGGTTACATCCTATTAGACCCACTTAGGAGCGAATTAAGGAGGGCGGTTACACCCCTTAATCCCTTCTAAATAACTAAGAAATTAGCTTAGTTCGGATCCTGGATTTTGGGCTGGATCTTTGATCCTTCTTTTTGGCAGCAAAGAAGAGATCTTTTGAGAGGAATTGCTGGAGCTTTGGAGATCAACAACATGAGCTTTCTTCACCCTTGGCTTATAGACCGATTTCGGTTAAATCAACTCTTTCATAGAGTTTCAAACTCTTTTAGAGTTCTCCATAACATCAAATCGTGATGAGAAGACCACGTTCCAGTGAATCAAGACGTTCGGATCGTTAATGGAGAGCAAACTCAATGCGAGCATTCGAGGGAGGCACTCCATCGTCACCGTGAAGAACCCAGAATTAAACAAAGGGGAGAATCAAATTTATTCTCCTCTCTTTTGTAATCAGGAAATCCAATTGTAACTGATTAAAAGAATACAAATCAATTTTTCTTCGTTTCTTTTACTGCAAAATTTCCACCAAACACTAACCCTATCTAATTTTCATGAAGTTACGCAAAGAATTAAAGACAGAATCCCAACAATATATACCTTCTCTAACTGGAGCCTGAGTGTCCGGAGCAAGCGGCGGAGTCCACGTTTTCACTGGAGTCGTGAGATTAAGCAGAACATCCGGCTTCCCTTGATAAAACCCATACATATCATACCTAAAATTACAGCTCTTGGTAATAATCCTCCTCCCTGTGCTTGCTTCAGAACCAGTGTACATGGCCCGTGCCACTATCAAACACTGACCACAATCTTCAGCCGACAGGTCCCTCGTGCACTGTGCCAGTCCACTCAGCGTGAAGCTGGCGTTGCTGTTGGTCTCGTTCATCGCCGTCCCAGTGGCGAACATAGTAGGAGAGTTGTAGGCGGTGTAGCTTGTAATATCATCTAGAAGCTCCTTCTGCAACCTGATGAAACCTCGAACATTATTGGTAACGTTCTTCAGGTTGGCCAAAAAGTAAGAGCCGTTGTAGTTGAGTGAGGAGAAGAAGCGCAGGTTAGAGTATCGGAGCTCGCAGTTGCCATACCAGACTGTGGCTTTTTTTGAGCTGGGGCAGAGGGAGCCGATGTCTTTCGTGGCGTTTTGGATGCAGGCGCGGCAATTGGAGAGACCGACATCACCTCGGCAGAGGAAGAGGCCGTAGACGGTGTTCGGGGTCGAACCAGTTGTGTTGGTGGTGAAGGAGGAGTTGGTGGAGGTGAGGATGCGGAGGAGTTGATTGAGGTTTGATTTGTAGTCGCTATTGGAAGTGTAGTTACTGAGGCCACAGGTATGGTAGAGAGGGCCACCCGAGCTGAAGCCGGAGCGGAGGAGGAGGAGGAGGAAAAGATGTAAGAGATTGGTCATGTTTTTGTTTGGTGTTGTTTTGCTTGATTGAATAGCCGAGTCCAAAACTTCCTAGCATATAGTAGGGGTTTCTGTTATATATACTCGTAACTACTAACAAGTAATATTGAGCTAAATTGGTTACAACCAATTTATACTCTCTGCGCTTAGTGACTTTACAACATAAATTGGGATGGTAATACATTTATTTAAGATTAATGGCAGTAAAGTTGAGTGTGAGTGGTCATCATCAAATAATCTTTGATGTTAATGATCAACTAAAAAGTAGGAGCGATCTAAAAAAAAAGCGCAAGTTTAAATCGATAATGCTCCATGGACATTGGAAATTTTTGGAATAAAATATGATGTCCTTCTAAATATTTGAACCTAATATCCCTATCTAATTCTAGAAGGTTATTTGGTGGATATCATCTGTCACGATGCGGGACTCGCGAGCCCGTTCGCGCGATGTAAGTCGTGGGATCCACTCAGTATAGCACGTGTTGTTTAGCTAAACCATTGTCAAAATCGACTAATCGGTACTACACTTAAATCTCATGGTTTACCTTATAATCACTATCATATCAATGTCCACAAGTAGATATGAGAGAATAAATTAAGGATGGGGTATTACATCATCACCTATCAAGTTGAGTAAATCCTAAGTTCATGCAAGCTAGTAAAGAATACAAAGAATAGCTGTAGCTAGTAATAGACCATAAAACAAATTCATACTGTTTCATGGTTACACTGTAAAATTATAGGGATTTAATGTTGGAGTTGTGTCATACAGACTAGATCTTCCAGCATCGATGTCTAGTATACACAATGTTAGACCCTAGAGGGGGGTGATTAGGGTCTTATGCTAATCTAATCCGATTAAATACCAATTAAAACTAATTAACAAGTTATCCTAGCAAGTATGAAATACAACAATATTTGTAAGCTAGGATAAGCAATATGAGCAACAAGATATATCCTATATGATGAAATATATGTTAGCAACCGGATGTTTATTATGAACAAGCTTATGTTAGCAAACGTGGTGAAAGTCGCGAACAATCTTTTTATCATCTTATTATTGTTGATTTAAGGTCTAATCCACGCATAACATTGCTCGGTTATAATCTCTCTCTAGGCACGTCAACCGACGCCACTCCTCTTGGGACGATCCCCGACTCTCACCACACACTCCTCACTCGGTGTACAAGTGTATTACAAAGTGATTTCACAATTAAGCACAATATAGCAAATGATTGTTCTCTCTAACAAGGTGAGAACTCAATTAGGCTCAACTCAATGTCACACTATCCCACAACCCAATTATATAATGTATGCAAATACAATAAGCTCAATGGTTGTGTGTGCAAACAAAGAGTAAATCAAATCAAACTAAACTCAATATAAAACTAGCTTTAATAGAAATGATAATCAACAAATAATTATAAATAAAAGCTAGACTTGAGTTTAGGAAAACTTCTCTAGATCAAGATGGAGAGATGGAGATATGAAGCCCAAACAAGAAGATGATCTCCTCCACTTGTGAAAATAATCTTCAAACCAAACAAACACTAAAACTCACTTAAACCCTTGTTTAAAACTCTTTAAACTTGTTTAAAACATTTCTTGAGTTACCTTAGAGGTAAGAGGGCATGGGGTATATATAGGCTCATGAAACAACCCCAAAAACCAATAAAAACACCCCCAAAACATAAAATAAACAAAAAAACAGAACTAGCCATTACTGTAGCAACGGTCGGATGCTACAGTACTTCGGTCGACTGGTACGGTCGATCGAGAGCCATCTGCAAAGCTGAGAAACGTCCAGAGACATTTCCGGTCGACCGGTCCGGTCGACCGGAGTTACTGTAGCAGTTTGTAGATGTTTTGTAAAATCAATTTAAAATAGTAAATGAACTCTAAAAATTATGAAATTTTGTGGGAATATTCTAGACATGTAGAATAACATGTCAGAGAAAGAATTTCTGAAAAATATTTTCCCAGTTGAGAGAAATAAATATTTGAACACAAATTTACAGTTTTTGAAAAACTGTTAACATATACGATTTTGTAAAGTCAATTAGGCACAGTAAATCAACTCCAAAAATAGTAAAATTTTTAGGGAAGTTTCAAAACATGTAGATAAACATGTCAGAGAAAGAATTTTTCAAATATCACTTCCCATTTGTGAAAACTCATCTGTTTTGTAAAACATGCACGAACATACACGAACGAAAAACATGATTTTGTAAATTCCATTAAACATAACAAATCAATTCCAAACTTGATGAAACTTTACGAAATGTTTATAAACATGAAAACAAACATGTTAGAAAAAGAATTTCTCAAATTGAATTTCTATTTGTGAAAACTCATGTATTTTGCAAGTATGTCCAAAACATGAAAACCTAAAACCATGCATGTATATATATAACTATATATATACATAGAAACCAAATACGTGTGTGTATATTATATTGAGCTTAGAGTATCTAACACACATAATATAAATCCTAAACTAAATTACCCAAGCTTGATTGGTCTTCAATAAGCTCTACTTGGTAATCTCGCGGATGAAGCTTGAACTTGATCTTTAACTTTGAATTGCAAGGCTTCACCGACATTCCGCCAACCTCCTTTGGATATGATATTCCGCTAACCTCCATTGGATATGATCGTTGAAGCTCTATTCCATCCATCCTCCAACGACGTTGTTTGTCTATAATACATAAGAAAACACAAATACTAGACAAACAACATTAGTGGTAAATTGTTTGTTAAACATCATCAAAACAAGAAGGCCAACAAGAAGTTCTCCTCCAGGAGAAAGGCTCGTTGGTACGAAGATGTTGAAAACACCAACGAAGATCTCGCCCCGCTGGATGCCAAAGCCGCATCGGGTGAGATTCCTCCAATTCCCAACCAGGTCGGAGCTGCTCTGGCCAACCCTTCTGCCACAGAGGGCGTGGTGACTCTCTCGAAGAGAGCCCGCCAAAGGCAACGTCAACGCCTTGCGAAACAATTCGCAAAGGCCATGGAGTCTGTTGACGGGATCCGCTACAACGCGGATCTGAAGAACAAAAGAGGCAAGCAGCCTCAACAATCAATGAATGGTGGTTCCTACAAGCCGCCAACAATGGAATGGGTCCGTGTCAAACGGAACCGATCAACGCTGGAGGAGCGCATTCACAAACGCCGCGCACTATCAGCGCAGGCACGGGCTCAAGCTGAAGAAGCCCGTAGAAAGCTGCAGAAAGAGGTAGCCAAGAAGCCGCCACCAACTCGCAAAGTTTGGAGGCCGAAGTCTGAAGCGGCGGATCAGACCAAAAAGCAGCAACTGCAGCCTCCAACCAAAATTCAACCTCCGGCGAACCAAGCTAAGTCGCCGAGAATTCCCATAGCTACTCCGGGAGATCATGCAGAATCCTCCCGAAGGAGAAAGCCAGTCTTGGAGCGCCTCGGTCCAATTCCCGACGAGAGAGGCAAAGCTCCAGTTCAAGAGAGTTTGGGCCCAATGAAGAAGCCCAGAACGACTCAACACGCTGGGGGTCGCCGTCACCTCCAATATAACAAAGAACTCAAGGTAGCTGCGCTCACCAACTTGCGCATCGAAGTCCAAGAGCACGCTGAAGACTCGCGCCCACAAAGGCACGTTTCGAGGCGTGTAACTTTTGAAAACCCAAAGAAGGCAATCCAACCTCAGATGGAAACATTATCATCTGATAGTGATAGTGTTATACCTGAGAAGTCGTGCCCGCACACGATAGGTTACTCCGACTGTCAAAATGACGAGTTGTACTATCGTGCTGGGGTACGAATAGAACCAGGAAGAGGAGTCCCCGAGAAAAGAAAACTCAATGCCCCTGTTCCAAACTCATTCGGGCGGTATTGTCTGAATGCAACTGCATCAAGGCGGTCCCCGAAAGAGTCTCAGTTTTTGAAAGACTCAGTGCGGAGACGCCAAAACCAAGGCCTAGGCGTTCCCAACGAAGAAGAAGGATGGTTGAAGACGGATATCAGGGAGAACTACAAGAGCGAACCACTTCAACTCTCCGTCTCTCAATCTGCTCAACCTCCATGACATAATCAACTCTCATATTCTCTCCAAAGCCCACTCCTTATAATCTTTGTTGCACGTAAACGACATGCGAAACCCTCTCTCTCTCTCATCTGAGTACATCTCTACTTTTTCTTGCATGGTGGTTTTTCCATCACCAATAGAAGAATATATATAGGGAACCAATAATCCTATCTCTAGCCCTAACTTCCTAATTATTAATAAGATTCGAAACCTCCTAATCATGATAAACCTAAAACTCCTAATCATGATAGAACTCAAACTCCTAATCATGATAGAACCTAAACTCCTAATGCATATAGACTCTAACTGCTAGGCCCTGTCTAAAAATCACAACAGATAGCCTTCATCCCCATCAAACAATAACAATATGAGGTTACAATTCAACGACTTATCCCCATGAAGGCCCCACAATTTGAAGACTTTCATAAAGATCGATGAATTCTTACAAATATGACGCATCTTCACAACAAACTAATGAAATCTCTAATCAACAGCCTTTCACAATCAACATCGGGATTACAATCTGACGACTCCACATATCAAAGAGCCTAAAGCAAAGATTTACAAAATTAACGCATCTTGTGCAGACGCTCTGATAGAATGAGCACTACAAATCGACGGTCTCTTCAAACCAAGACGCTGAAGTCCTCCCCGCGTACCGCATCAAGATGCCATTGCTGTTTTAGCCGTTGGACGCATCCTCAAACCTGGCACAAACACAGTCCTCTAAAGCCTACCAACGTAGCTTCCAATCCGCCCTGCCAAACGCAGCTTCATGTTCAACCACAAACCGCCAGCCTCCAAAGCCTGCTAACACAGCTTCCATCCGCTGGCAAACGCAGCTCTTAAATGCTGCTAAACTACGCCAACGCAGACCTTCCCAATTGCCTTGCAAACGTAGCTTGTCAAATCACTTGCAAAATGCAGCTGTCTAATTGCTACAAATGAGGCTTCCTAGCACGCTTGCGTTTATGAGCTTCCAGATACTGCTGTTTTGAACG